TTCAGTGCATATATCAAAACTATTGCTCTGGCTTGCCAGCCTTGATACAGTACATGAATTCTAATGGCAGTCTCCTTTATTTAAGCAAAATTAAGTTCTGTGCTCTCTGCCAAGGGTTGTTTACAAATCGCTGCTTTCTTCAATAACAACCACACACCACAATATAACATCCAGAAAGATAATGCATTTTTAAGGATTTGCAATCAACATAAAGACATTAGACTTGTAGCTAGCACTAGACAGGTTTCTTACAAGCTTTCCTGACTGTATTTCTGCCTCTGGCATCGCACAATGGCCCTTCCCAGTGTTCCATGATCATGAATGTCTAAGGCCAGATTTACATGAAACGGCAGCATTGTGGAGTAGGCTTGCCAAGTCCCCCCAGGGGGCGAATCGGGCCCCGGGGGAACCCCACCCCCAAAGCACATGACATGCCCAGCGTCAGCACGCTACCCGGAAGTGACACAATCACATCGGGCACGTTGGGGGTGTGGCCACAATAATCTGAGGGAAAACTCTATGGTTTTCCCTCGGATGATTGTGGCCCGGCCCCCAACGTGCCCAACATGATTGTGTCACTTCCGGGTGATGTAATTGCGGCGCGCGCATGGACTCCCAGACCAGCGCTGGACTCCCCCGCTCTTCATAAGGTAAGGACTTGGCAACCCTATTGTGGAGGCTAGTTTTAAATGTTAAAATTGTCAAATGCAGAGCCACCTACTGAGTTTACAGGATGGTAGAGGAGCTGAATAGTTAACCAATGATTCCCTCCCCAGTTCCTTGAAACCTAGACTGTAATCAGAATAAATGAAAGGCAAGACGAGATTTAAACATGGGGTTTAAAGAACAGTGACAAACAGTTCATCCAATAGCCACTACGAGTCACGAGTGTGATGAGCTGATAACAAAGTACTGCTAGCAAGTCTCCATCCGTAGCCAAACATACAACCAGTGAAATTACATCCTCGTTACAACTCCATGCCACTTCTATTAAGTAGACACAGACATGTCAACAACACATAGCTGGCATGTATATGCCTTGGAACATTCTTAAAGCCAAACATAAGTTTCATTTGGCATTGCGATTCAGTTATCACCCTCCCCTTTTTACCCCAATGACTATGAACTGTGACTTTTTAATTGGCCTTGTTGCATAATATATGTGATCAACAGAACTGTGATTGCAAATAACAAACAAACAAACAAACCCAGTCACAGTGTAACACTGAAATGATTTAGCTGTTTCCCCCCTTATAAAACCATGGAAAAATATCTCCTCTCCAGATGACATATGGAGCTCACCATGAACAAGATAAAAACAATCTCACTTTTCACAATTACAATTCAAAAAGCACAAGGAGCAAAGGCTTAGACTTGGGGTGCCAGCTCTGGGTTGGAAAATACCTGGAGATCTGGGGGGTGGAGCCTGGGGAGGGCAGGGTTTGGGGGGGGGTCAGCAGGGTATAATTCCAAAGAGTCCACCCTCCAAAGCAGCCAAAGCAAACTGATCTTGTCCTCTGGAGATCAACTGTAGTACCAGGAATCTCCAGGTACCACCTGGAGGTTGGCAACCCTAGCTTAGATCCACATGTGGGGAGGCTGCTATGTGCTATGTGTGTGTACAACTTTGGCTCTCACAATCAACAGCAAGCATCTCTCTTCTTAAACCATTAGTCTGTCATCAGTAGACCTGCAACTGAAGACAGTACTTGGTATTATAAACGTGTATTTGTAATTTCATTAAAGAAGTAACAGGATGTGTGAAAAAGTACCTAGAAGACAGGGGCGCTTCTCTCTGAGTGTTAGCTTTATCCTCTCCCAAAACCAAAAAACTAGTTTTGAGATCCTTCTTGGATACCCATATGAATTTGCCTTGTATGACCTTGCATTGATTTGTAGGACATATAGGCCTGATGTGGCCTGATTAAACTTGCTTGGTGAAGCACAAGACTCACATGCACACACACACTATGCTTCCCTGGACCAGTCTCCCTGGAGAGAACAGATGCTTTGGAGGTTGGACTCTATGGTATTGTACCCCACTGAAGTCCCTTCCCTCCACAAACCCTGCCCAACACCGGCTCTACCCCAAATATCCAGGTGTTTTCCAACTTGGAGTTGGCAACTCAATCTAGCATTCCTGATCACATGGAGGAGCCTGAAAGACAAATGTCGCTGAAGTCACTGTGCAGAGTGTGAGCACAGGGCAGAGACAGAGCTAGCAGGCATGATCCCACTCTCCTCTACACATATCCAGGGCTAAAAAGGGATTTATTAGTTACTTGTTGTTTATTTCCCTTGTCACAACAGACGTGCATTGTAATGCGAGGGTAACCACAAACTTCTAACAGCTTGCTTTGGATCAGTTCCACCAAGCTTTGCGGAGCTGCCCAAAAGTGGAGCGATTTGAGCACTGTGGGCAGGATTTGGGGTGAAACAAAATATCTCATGCCTTAAGGCAAGAGTGCTCATGCTTAGCATTTCTTATTCCCATGTTCTAGCATCATGAGGTACTGAGGATCATTAGGAAAAGAACACCACAGCACGAAGAATGCCTGTTATCCTTGTTTAATATTAATGAAGGTTCCTCCTTAGCATAATGCTGCCTTCATAGCTACAGGCATATTAGAGCCTTGCAGGCCTCCTCCTTTACACAGTTCCAATGGCTGCTGCACATTTCAAAGGAATACTAAACTTTTTAATTTCAAAGTAGCAAATAATACAGATTTATATATTAACCCCCCATCCCACCCTGATCAAGATAAAAGTTGTCATCCTAACAGAATGGGAGCATACACAGTGAGACTGTTTTCACGTGACTTGTTCACTGTGGTTTTACAGCTGGAAATTCTACAGTAATTGCTCCCATCCCTTCATTATTTAGAACTAGCACGCAAGTCCTTTCTCTTCCAATGTACACAGATTCTAGAGAATGATGACTCCTCTGATTAGGTTGAAACTTGGTGTCTCAGGTAAAGCCATTAATGAATGGCTTGGATTACTGCAGTTTGTTGTTTATGTTCAAAAGTGTGTTTGAAGGACACAGTGAGTGCTCTGGAAGCACTTGGCATGAGTCTAAAATATGCCTTGAAAGGGTGGTCACACCAAAGCAGGGCAAGTGTAATTTTCTACAAAGTTATGTTACCCATCCAATAACCAAATACATTTGCCACACATAGAGAACCCTACTATAGTTAATTATGCTTATTATTTTTAAAAATAATTTTAAAATAGTAAGGACGTTTAATGCGGAAAATTTGAATACAGTTTACTTCAGCTTAATTCCCCATGCTTGAAATTTAACATAGTGCACATTCTAAGCAAACTTAAACCAGGTTAATCCATACTTGATTACATGTCAGGTAAAAAAAAAAGATTTAAATGGTGACCTTTTTTATATTATGTACTCTGAAATTATATTTTAATCTGCTCCTTTCTCCAAGATAAAGTATTATTATCCTTAAAAAAAGAAACCCACAGCATAGCCTAAACATGTGAAGTTATTAAAACTGGTCATACTTTCATGTATTTTACAATGTAAATGATGAAATTTGGGGGAAGGAAGCTAAGAATACTCATCCACCTTCCATATTAATTGTAGTACATATTCAGCATGCAATTATTCACGTGCAATATTAAGCGTACTTCATCTGTATTTAACATGCCTTTTCCAGTGCATAATACCACAATTAATAAATTCTATTGACGTGACACCGAAAGATGACATTTGCCTCCGATTTCTACTACTTAACAATAAAGCTATAGCTGATGGCATTCATACTCCACCACAAGGGGCCAATTCAGTCACCATTGTCCTATTCTCCCCTATCCCACCTCCTCATTCACATCTCTGAGTAAGCAACTGCAATGTAAGAGCTGGGATCCAACAGACGTCAGCTGCTGCACCTTTCACAATTTGCTATGTATGGTTCGGATTGTTGGCACAAGCAGTGCCGTACCAAGGGAATGGGGGGGGGCAGACTGCCCCAGATGCAGCTTGAGTAAGGCCCTTCAAGGGGGCCCTTGAAGCCAGCATCATGTTTGTGTCCAGCCAAACAAATGTCCTTGCTTTTATTTTTAGAATGCAGTTCTGGCTGCAGCCACTAGGGGTGTGGGGAAGCGCCACAAAAAGCTTTTTGGCTATACTCTCCTTTCTCCAAGACTGAAGCAAACTTGCTTAAAAACAACCAACTGCCACAGCCTGCAGGTCATTTTCTCCAGTAATCCAGCCTTTCTCTCTTCCTTTCCTTACACCCAGCTCAGCCAGATCTTGCAAAGCAGTAGTTAGCATGTTGGGGCAAGGTAAAACAAACTTTCCCTCTCTTCCACACTTTTCTCATTCATTCTGTCTCCCTTCACCCTATCCCCCCCCCTATTTTCACTTCTTGGCCTCAAGACCTTCTCATCTAGGGCTACCAAATGTCCTCTTTTTAGAGGATATGTCCTCCTCTTGGGTTGGGAGGCTGGGCCTGTTTTGCCCTATAGTCCCCCAGTGGAGGCAAGCTTCAGCTTAAATAATAGTGGCATTTAAAATGAGATTTCACATAGTGATCAATTGTTTGAAATAGTCAGTCAGGGAATATGTTCTCTTTTTTGCTTTTCAAAATATGGTAACCTTATCTCATCCCCAGCCTGCTTGGTGACAGAATGTATTTAAAAGTAGTATAGTAGCAAACCTTTGTTAATATTATGAACAGAAGGCACTGGGTTTGCTGGGCACTGTACAATGCACTGGGTTCTGCTGGGCTTCCACCCCCCCCCCTGTTTGGACTGTGATTCTGTGCTTGACATCAGTCGGCACTGTCACAATGGCACTGGGTTATCTGGGCACTGTACATTGCACTGGTTCAACTGGGCTTCCAATCCCCCCCTTGCTTGGACTGAATAGATAACACTGAAGGGCTACTTTGCAACAAAACTGACCTCAGCCTACATCTGAAATGGGCACAGAAAGACACACCATCATTGTTATTATGTATTTTCACATAGGTTAGCATTACCTTGCAAAGAAAGCTAATGTTAAAGCCCAGTGATTGGGCATTTCTCGAGCCAGAATTCATGTAGTTTCCAACCAGCAGCACGAGTTCCAACAGCTTGCTAAAGCTCTCGCTCTTCTTCACTTCCTCACAGGCTATCGTTACTGCCATGATGCCAGGCCTGATATTGTTTATGTGCTCTTCAAACGTCAGCTTGAAAAGGATGCCATTGAGGCGAGGCCGTAACATCTTCACCGAGCTCATCTGGAAGGTAAGAAAATAGCTAAGGGAGAGTGTTTTAAAATACTTTCCATGCAATAAAGAACAATATTACCCTCCACACACGCACACAAAACCCAACACTTAAATAGTATAAATTGTTGGTACCCATTTTTCCACAGCATGGTGGTATACGTTGTTTCAATTGACAGGATCCAAAGTAACAAGAAACCCATTCCACACATTCAAATGAGCTCTGGATGTGTGTTTCTTGAATCTCAGCGTTCTGGTATATGTTGCATCACTTAGGAAACTAAGAAGAATTTCTAACAATCAAGGTCTGATGTTCAAAGGGGAAATGAATTTTTAAAATCCCACCAGTAGCAGCTCAAGCAGTAGTCTGGATCCAGACCACTGTTTTAATAGTTTTGTACAAACATTTACAGTTCCACAGGTACCTAATAGGTTTTGACTTCACAATTGTGATACCTTATGTATGTAACTCAACCCCTGGCACCCACTCTTGAATTTTTGGCACCAATTTAAGAAGGACTTCCCTATTTTCTCAAGTCTTTGGCTACAAGTAATACTGTCAAGGTACTGGCCATTCCTCACTTTCAATATTTGCTATGCAGCTAGTACCATCTTAATTGTGGTTTTAGCAAGAATTTGATCAACAGTGATTTTTAACTTGATTTTAGATTGTGTTGTGCTTTGACCTACCATGACATACTATTCTACTGCGAGCCACTTTGCCAACTATTTCATGAGGTAGTGTTTTCTTCTTTTTTTCTTCTTTTTTTAAAAAAGGTAACTACTGGACTTTTAATGACTTTGACAGCATTCATTTTTTTTAAAAAAAATACACACATCAGAATGCATAACAGTTCATTGATCATGTCACAGGAGGAAGATTTATTAGTTCTGGTCTAACAAAAGTGCTTCAGACTTTAATAGTAATAGAAACTGGGAGGGCAACTTTAAAATTTTATCATCTATTATTAAACCGCTTGCATATTAAACCACTTGCATATTATTAAACCACTTGCATACATCCCTGAACTGTTAGGTGTGCCATAGTCATTAGGTACACACAAACAATAGGAAAGACAGATAAAATTAGTAAAGAACATCTAGTCTCACAATAGCATTACAGCCAGACTAAGCCATGTAAATGCCTGAAAGAATTTGATTGAAACCAGTGACAGTTGTCAGATATGATCGTTTGGTGCATTTCAAATGACTTACATTTCCGATTTTATGATTCACTGCATAAAGTGCTCTGGGACACTGACCATGATTGCATATTATGCAAGGGTTTATTTGTATTATGAGGTCACTGTCCATCAAAATACTACCAAAGGGAATTACATTCTTTTGAGTTGATCCTACACTATATTAAAGGGGGGGAGCAATGACAGCTTTTGAAAGCTGTTACAAGTGCCTTATTTCCCTATGGAGTTTCAGACAGATTTATGTTTTTGCTGCTTACAAGAACTCCTAATACTAATAATACTCCATGCTCTCACTACCCAGAATAAGCACTCCCCTCAGTTAGGAGGAGGATTCGGGCAACCATTTTTATCCTCCTGAGGCTTACTTTCTCGTTCAACATAAAATGAGAATCGAGTATAATTAGACTGCTTAAGAAGGTACAGTATATAACAAAAACTCACAGTCAGGCTGCGAAAATCTAACTTGTCTAATTCTTATGCCATTCCAAGAACAGTTTTGTACAATTCAAAAGCTGGCTTCCTGCATTACAGGCATGAGCAACTTTAATCTATTATCTTTTCACAGGATTTATGTTCTTTGTTCTGTGGAACAAGCTGAGTAACTATAAGACCGAATCTTGTTAGCCTTTCATCAGGCTTAAGATCATTTATTGTTCGGTGAAAACCCGTAGTAACATTGGGCTAAGCAGTACCAGAAGTATCCACAACATCATTTTCCTCTCTTGTCATGTATTGACATCGACATTCGAAGGCTGCTGTTGTTATGCCAATTAAGGTGTGTTGTGTTGTGTTGACATTGGCATTTCATTCTCTGGAAGAATTATTTGGTGTGGAGGGGGCAATTTTAAAGCAAGCATCATCTTTTTGGCACTACAAATGCACCAGCGCAATGCATGCAATGGCAATTTCTGCCACACTGTGTGAGCTAAACAAAAATGCAATAACGATAGTAGCAACAATGATCTGGTCATAGATTAACAAGAAGTGTTTAGAAATATGATTAGACTAGAAGCCAATCAGATGAAGCATCCCTACCACTAGCTCTAAATATCTTGTGATGAATTGCCAGAAAATAATTTTGTTCCAAGAATAACAGGGCAGTGTCGCCTCCCCCCACCCAGGTTTCCAATACTTGTGACAAAACACAGTGGCAGCAAGTATATTATCTTTGCTATCCATCATTAAATTTCATCTCCTTTACATTAGACGTGAAACTTCATTTGATCCTAGGGTATAACTTAAAAAAAAATTGTGTTTAATTTGAATATATAATTCATCTTGATGCTTCATCTAAATGAAAATGTGATGCTCCAATTTTCATGCACAAATAAGAATATTAAGCTAATTAGTCTGTTATAATAAGTAACCTAATTACAAAGTGAGACTTTTCTAAATGAATTTTAAACATCTAATTCTGACCTTTATTAGGGTTGATGAGTATATTGATTATCTAATTAAAACCTTATATTAATAATTAACTTACCTAATTTGTATATGCAAATAGGCGTACACAGTCTGAAAAGACAAACTTCAAATAGTAGGCAATATTTCAATCATTCTGTACTAATTTCTTAACCTTTCAAAAGTCAAAGCTTATACGGTGGGCATCTTGTTGGTCTTTAAGGCGCTGCTGGACTCTAATCTTGTTCTTCTACTGCTGACCAATATGGCTGCCCTCCAGAAACAAGTTTCTTAACCAGTTCTTTCTCATTAAAAATATCCAGATTATTAACAAGACTCTTGTCAGCTAGGCTACTATTAGTAGTTGGCATCTGGATGGGGAGAGAAGCTCCATAAGCAGTAACTTCTTCCCTGCGAGGTGTTCTTAGAAAGTGTCATCTTAAAGCCTGCTGAGAAAAAAAAAGAGCTGGAGGTGCCCTGCATAATCAAGAAACCTTTGAGAAGCCACTGGACCCCGAGACCAGAGCGGAAGAGGCTTAAGACTGGCGGTTCTATTCCTTTGGATGGAAGAAGATTGGGCTGCAGTGAACGTCTAAGAAGCTATCAAGAATTTAGAGAGTTTTAGTATAGATGTAAAGGCGGAAGGACTTTGCAAATTGCTTTTATGAACCGAGCTGGAGGAGATGCTCGGGAAATCTTCTCATCACAAGTAACAATCTAACATATAAGCTTAGAAAGACAGGACCTCACAAAGTATATTGTTTATTAATAGCCTTTTCTTTTACTAACAGCAGTTTAACAGGGAATGATCTCCTAACCTTGGGTTTTTAGTTTAGTGTGGGTTATCTTTTATTTCTCCCTAAGTGTAGTCCCCCTATCCCTATTTTTTTCTTGGTAGTTTATGTAGTATTATAAAAAAAATAAAAAATCCGCTCCGGGGGCTTAAAAAAAAGTTTAAACAGACTTTTAAAATCAGAAACAAATAAGTGAATGTTAAACATTTCTGTACAGAATCGAATTTTGCCCCTTACAAGGCATATTGCTTGTATCTATATATGGAAACAGGTGTACATTCAAGTACACAGTCATGTGAATGAAGTGCGTGCCTGCTAATTTTGAAAACAGGCATGCTTTTGGAAGCTGCAATTGGCAGAAAGTCATTATAACATAGTCATTATAACAAATGTACATAGCCTCCACAAAGGACTATCTACATACAGCCTTTTAAACTGGGGTTGTAACGAAATCGCAGTTACCTGTGTATGTATGATGGCTGCCATCTGGGGTGGTTTGTTTAAAATGTTCCCCCATGAGATGAGATTTAATTGAGCTGCAGTTCTGGAAAGGGGCCATTCAACAGTCGGCTGGTTTGGGGACTGAATGGGAGTCTCCCTGCTTTCTTGAGTAAGAGAGCGAGGCTGAAGCAGAACCGGAGGCCGGTCCAAGGAGAGATCCCTTCCTGAGGCCACAACCTCCAGAGGTAGAGAGTATTGTGTGTAGGGGAAGAGGATTGTGTTTAACCCCTGTTGATTTATGCCCTGTTGGTTCATAGTGTGTGCTTATCCATTTAGCGTGTGTGTGCTCCATAAGTGTAAATGGTTAAATAAATTATTTTATTTAGACTAATACTCAGTGTTGTGCTCTGACCACATAGTCCTCCCTGCTCAGCATGTTACACGTGGCAAAGGAAGACCATGGAAGCAAAACGGGCCCAGATCATATGGGTTGCCAACTCTCCAGGGGGTGTCCAAAGATTAAGGTATCCACTTCCCAAGTTTGGGGAATCAGCCAGTGGGGTCTCACTGTTCCTCTAGGAAGGTGGTGTAAATTCAGAGAGTGGTGGCAGCAACTGAGGAAAGGAAACCGTCCCACCAAACAGGGTGGGCAGGCAAAAACAGGGGCTTGCGAGCCGCTGAATGGCTGCTCAGTCTCCCAGGGCTGAGGGCGGGTCCCCGTTTCGCCACAGGGGGGCACACCATAATTTTAATGAAGATGCAGAAAATGGGAAAAGGGTTAAGTTTTCCCTTAGTCACCCTCTTTGATACTACCAACCACCACCCCTTTAAGTATCAGGAATCTAATAGTAATATGTGTCTGTAACTTATAGACGCTGGTGGACTTTCTTCTCCAGGACGAGAGAGAGAGAGAGAGAGAGAGAGAGAGAGAGAGAGAGAGAGAGAATAGGGATTGCTTAAACCAAGTTAATGCTTCTTTAAAGGGCAGAACATTGTGAGACAAAATAATCTGTCATGCTAAGATCAGTTTCTTATTTACTTCTCTCTTTTTTAATACTAAAGGGAAAAATACATTCTGGAAAGCTTAGCTCCCTTGAATACATTTCAAAAGTCTGCATATGAGCACACAAACATTTATCTATAGCAGATAGAAAAGGGCGTGGAAATGGCTTGTGATAGGAAGCTTCATCACTTCTTGAAAAGGAGCATTAGAATGAAGTGTGACACAAAGCAAACAGATTATATTATAGTACAAAAGACAGAGAAAGAGTCAGAATGGATACTGGAAACAAAAAAAACGCAGCACCAACCAAAGCATTGAGTTCACAATCGCTTTACACTGAAATCAGCACTCCATGGTCTACAAGCCAGGTAATCTTTATTCACTGCAACAGACTCTTGATTTATGCAAGAATAATGCAACACAATTCATTCATGTTGTTTGAATTATAGATATGTGGATACAAACCACACATACCCCCCCAAAAAAAAGCCCTTAAACCTTCCTCAAAATGTTGTGTGCGTACTTAGGAACTCCTGGGAGACAAAATGCTGCCCCAATATTAACTATAGCTCTCATGGCTGCTGAAGTAAACTATTTTTTGGACAACGGAATTAGCAAACCATTTAAGATATTATTTTGGACAACCAGCAATCTTATCTACTACACTGCAACTATACAGTCACAATGAATGAAATATTCAGTGTCTGAGAAATTTATTTGGAACAAACAAAAAGCTGTAGTTGTGGGAGACCCAGGCAATCCTATGAGACCTAATAGAGGTTTAAAAGACAACTGACTTAAAATATGACTACTCTGCTCCAGATACAAGGTGCTCACATGACTTTTGATGTAACCCTAAGGGACGATAAACTACTCAGAAAAACAGAAGTTCCCTACAAGCTAAAAACATCAGCATAGATCTTGCACTGATGATATCATCATCATCATCATCATCATCATCATCATCATCATCATCTCAGGTTAAATGAGTGATATTTTGTCTTCCTTGCTTTATTGCTTTACATGTGCCTTGTCTGCTGCTCACAGCCTGAACAGACACTATTTTGCCCATAATAAAACTACAGCTAACATCTGTAGTTAAGAGAAATGTGTTATTGAGGAAATTTAATTAATCCACTTATACCCCACCATTTCTCCCCGATGAGGACCCAAAGCAGTTTGCATCATTCTCTTGTTGTGCACTTTATCCTCACAACAACCCTGTGTGGTAGGTTAGGCTGAGAGAATGTGACTGGCCCAAAGTCATCCAGAGAGCTTCCATGGCATGAGTGAGGATTCTCCCAGATCCTGGTCCAACACGCTTGACTACTTTCATTACCCTGGTTTCTAGATCTGAGATTGGATCCTAGATCCTTGCAAAAGACTTCATAGATGATTCTGAATGAATTAGGGAGCAATCAAAGCAGTACGACTCAGAAGTAAGTCCTTTTTAAATTTAATTTAATGGGGTCTAATCCTAGGAAAGTTTTTTTTAGTACTGCAGCCTTCATAAGTATATCTTTATTTTTTTAAGTCATTTTTTAAAATTTCAAAATCACTGATTTTTATTCAACTTTTACCTTTAAGCTTTGTTATGAGTTTACTAGGCAGAAGGATAGTATACAAGAGGAAAACAGTATAGGGCCACAT